CATTATTACTTGCTGACTGACCTGCAGTCTCCTCTTTTATGTGATAAAACATCAAATTACAAGTTAATGGCTTCGATATTATATTCTGTTGTGAGGCGGCAGTTGCTCCATTTCCAAATAGTAGAAACTCAGGCTCTTATACTTTGAAGATGGTGAAAAAGAATACTTTTATCTAATGCATTTGAATAATATGTTTTTTATGAGATAGCCTATTTGATTGGTTCCTCACACGTCTAGGGTTGTTGGGACCGAGTCCTATATTTGGCTAATTTAGAGAATGATCATGAATGAATTTATTAGTAAGAAATACATCTCTAATAGTACGAGGCCTTTTGAGGAGGTACAAAGTATTGCCATGAGAGTTTAGGCTCAAAATGGATAGTATCATACCATACTATTGTGAAAAGTCGTAACTCCTTACCCGCCTAATTCAAGCAACCCAATTCTAGAGGTTCTTTTTAAAGCATTTCATCTAGCGTTCCCAGTTTTGAATATTTTATGATCTTTCAGGAAGGGCCATCAGTAGAAAGTCCAGTGCCCTCACACAAATCTGTAGCTGCGCTTGAATCTCCAAGTTCGAAGGAGGCTGATCAACCAAGTCCAGTTTCAGTTCTGGAACCTGCTTTTGGAGATTATCTCTCATCATCTTCTGAATGTTTCGAGAACGTCAGCGCCGACCTCCAAGGTATTTTCCATCTATATTGTATTATCCGTATGTAACTTTTAACGGCGGATATTGCATGTTATTTTTATTTTCCTAAATATATTATCGCATTAAAATTTGAGCCAGTTCGGTAAGCGAATAAAATCGTTCATTTTTCAATTTTATAATATGATGATATAAATAGGAGTTTCATTTCTGGTTATCATCTTCCAGAAGAACACTACATTTCCTGATAATCTTGATTTCAACAAGAATCTTTCTTTTCTGCAAATTCTTTGAAACCCTTCTAACTTAATTTCCCCGTCTCGATTCTAGGCCTTCGAATGCAGCTTCAGCTACTCAAATTGGAATCCGAACCATTCACTGAGGGACACATGCTCATATCCAGTGACGAAGATGCAACAGAACTATCTTCTGGGCTACCGGATGATGAGAAGGGTCCGTGCAAAACAAAAGATAACTGGGAGTTCTCTTATTTACTCGACATCTTGACCGATTCTGGCCTCAATGTTGCCAACCCAGGTGCGTTATTAGCTACTATATACTCATCATCCGATTGCCCTATCAATCCAAAGATTTTCGAGCAGCTTGAGAAAAAACAGAGCTGTCCTTCCTCCACGACACGGTCGGAGAGGAGGCTGCTGTTCGACCGCATAAACTCAGGAATCTTGGAGATTGGCCGAGAGCTCAGTGACCCCCACCCATGGGTGAGGCCTTCAAAAACTCAGATTGCAACGAAGTGGGTGATGAAAAATCAGCTCCAAAACAGACTCTGTAAGTTTCTTGACATCCAAATAGTTAGATTTGATGTAGTAGAGGAGTCAGATTGGGAGAATTCAGGGGATGAAATTGATGTGATAGGTAAGGAAATTGAAAGGATGATGATAAATGAGGTTTTAGCTGAAGTAGTGAAGGATGTGATATAGAGTTTTTTGTTTTCATGTTTCAAAAAAGGTCATTGGAGGAAGAAACGTGTGGTGGATGAAATGTTGTGTTAGTTAGTTAATCACTCATTTCTTAAGAAGGATTCAATAAAATGAATTGATGACCTTACTTCTCACTAGTTCGTTGTTTACAAAAGTGTTCATAAACTCAAGAACAAGCAAACTGGAAAAACCAATATCAATTACCATAGAATTGTTCGTTTCCTTTTCATCCATCTTGCATTTTTCTTTTCTTCTTTCATTCGGTAAACCAACTAATTCATTTACTCGACTGTACCCTTGGTCTCTTTTATTTTCTTTCTCATTTGATTTTGCTTTCGAGTCTGGAAATCATTTGATGAGAATAGAATTATACTAACTTAGTGTTTTGTTCTTGTTCGTTATTCTCACTGTAAACTCATACAATGTGTCTATTTTCTTTTCTTTCATAGTGTGTGTCTAAAGGATTGGACTATAAAGTCGAGAATCTTTTCTTCAACTTTGTCCTTCACTCCCAATTTCTCTATTATTGAAGCTATCACAGTATTAAAGTAACATTTGAAATATGGATGAAGAGAGTATGTACGGTCTATGAGATTAACAGAGTTTTCGTATAGGTATTTTTTTTTTTTTTTTCATTCACGAGAGTAAGTATGTACGGTTAACAAATATTAGATATCAAAATAAGCTAAATATAGTTTTGTTTAGAATTAAAACGTTTGTTTGAATTTCAGATTAAGACACTTAGAAAGGGCTTTTTATTATGTTGAAAGTAAATGGCCTTTTGAAAAGGGCAATGAATAGATGAAGAAGGTGGGCCCCAAAAGAGAGACAAGTCCTGATCTCAACGGCTTATGTCAATCCACGTGGACTCCTGCCATCAATTCCAACGGTGGTATTGTTACGTTACGTCGTCGTTCTAACTCTCATTATGTGGGTCTGCCGCCACAGGCGTTTAGCCCAATCACATCACGACCGTATCCAACTCTCCCATTAAATTAAGTTTTTCATTCACGTCTTCGACAACATAAAGCAAGGTTATTAATAAAAATGATTTTAAACTTTACATTTTACCTAAAAATAAATATATATCTTTCAATTTTTAAAAATTTTAATAACGTTTTTAAATTTTAAAAAATCTTTAAATTATTTTTAAAAGGTTAACGCTTTGTTTCAACAAAAATAAAATGTTTAAAAATTTGGATATAATATATGAGATGTCAATAAACACTTTTCGTCTATATATCGATGCTAATATTTTTTTTTGAACATTTTTTATAAAAGTAAAATTTGTCGATATTACTTTTAAGATTTCATGAGTATTTTTTTAAAATAAGTATTAATCGTACGGATATTTTTTATTTTTAAAAAAAATTAAGAATATTTTAAAAACATTTATAAAAGTTTTAAGAATATTTTTGAAGTAAAATACTAACAATTTTCATCGGTAAAGACTTTTACAAATTTAGAACGTATTTTTAAGCTCAACTTATATCTCATCATCTATTTACACAATGAAATAAAAATTTAAATATTCAAATATATAAATAACATCATTATTACTTTAAAAACTTAAGTATCACATCAAGACGAAGGCATTAAGTTTATTGGAACACTTAATGAAAAAAATCAACAAGTTCACACGTGCTAAACTTAGGTTATCACTTCCTAAATAACATCTTTCTCGGAATCTTCTTTTAATTTAAATATATCTGAATGGATAAGATACTAATTACTATTCTAAAAGTCGATATTTCAATTATGACCCGGGCATTAAAAAAATGTAAATAAATTAAAAACCTATAGAATTATTTCTTGCTTCCAATTATGTTATTTTAGGGTTTATGGAATCTTTTAGAGTTCACACTTAGCTCATTTGTTTTCAAGTTAAAGTCGTTTTGAGTTAACAAACAAAATGCTTCAAAGACTTAACTTCTAAGTCTATTGACTTTGTTGAACTTAGTTTCGTAAAAAAAATGTCACATGTTGTCACATCAATTTTAAAATATTTAGTTCATTAGCGACTTTTAGTTCTATATTATTCCATTAACTAAAACGGTTTTCTTGTGTGAACGACCTATGAGACTATACAGTAAGCTATACAACGAGGCCAAAGGGTAGCTTTTGACTAATTAAATGATAACGTACTAATAATAATAATTAAAAAAAACTACTAATTTAAGGTTCGTTTTGTAATCATTTTGAAAAAAAATATATATATGTCATGATTTCATTCTTTAGATGCATGTCAATTATTTTCATACTCATACTATAAGTAATCTCATTAAAAATATTAAAACATCTGGCCAAATAATTTTAAAAAAAATCATAAAAATAATTGAGTAATAATGTTTTTGTTCTTCCTAAAGAAATTCAAACAAAAAATATAAGGAAGAAGATTATGAATTTTGGAGCGGGGTCACAATTGATTCGATTGCACGACCCGCAATTCTACATTCGAGTGGACTGACTACTTCATAAAAATTTTAAAATTCGGGTAAGCTTTAAAAAATTTAAATATATTTTAAAGTGTTAATTTTATATACAATATTAAGAGAAATATATTAAATATTTTTTAAAAAATTCTTCTATTTATTAGATATAAATGAAAAAAAAAACAAAAAAAAACTCACTTTTTTTGTATTTTAAAATTAATTTTTTTAATAAAAAAATGAATTTGTATTTAAAAAAAAAAAAAAAAGAAGGATTTCACGTGCATATTGTTAGAAACTAGTAATGTAATATATATTATATTATTTATAAAGACATTGTTGACTTATTTTTATGCTATAAAAATTATAGATATTAAGTGGATGGGGACACATTATTTGAATAATTCGACCTTATAATAAAATAATTATTATTAATATCTTTGAATAAAAGTTGTTGGAATTAATTAAATCATTTATTTTTCTCTGGACTTGACTTTCCTTCCCACTTTTTCTTTATTATGACAAAATATGTATTTATTAAAAAATATATACGCTTACTCTCCATTTCATTTGACTTTTTTTTAATAATAAAATAAAATAAAATAAAAATCAGTCTCAATTGACTTAGTCTGTTGACTCTCATGACTTTTAAACAGAACAATTTAAGCTCATTACTTCACATTCCGGACGACGTCGTTTTATATAATATGACAAAGTCTGCACCCCACTTTCTTTCATAACCCTTTAATTATTTAATATATTTATAATTTTTTTTTAAAATTTTTATGTATCTTGAAGAATAAATAAATATTTAGTGTAAAACTATTATTATTATTTAATAATAACGTTAAAATTTGATTTTAAATGACTAATTAAAAAATGTATTGAAAAATACAAAAATTAACGTTTAAAATATAATTACGAAAATGTAATAAATCATTATAAATAATATAATATATATATATATATATAGACACATTTATGTACCCTTTAGTGGCGGACAAATCTCGGTGCCCAAACAGAGGCGAAGAGGTTCAGAAATCTCGAATGACGAGACATGGAAAGAAGCTTTTCGGGCTTTGTTCCAAGATGCTCTCGCCTTTGGTCTCTCCTATTTGCTCTAATTCTTCGTCTTCATCCGAAGTCGCCTCCGTGATTCATTGTCAAAGATTTTCGGAATCGATGATTGATCGGAGTTTGCAGTCCGCTGCAGAAATTATCACGAAATGGAGCATCGAGTCGTTAGCTTATGCTGAAGTGACGTCGATGTTTAACCAAAGCAAGGAGGAAGGTTTGCGATTCATTCGATGTGTGAACGAACTTCAGAAGGTTATGTATCTCTTGGCCTCGGAGAAACTTGAATATTCTCAAAGTTTGATGCAGATTGCTATGAAGCGACTTCAGGTTGAATTTTATCGGATTCTTTCCGTGAAACGCGAACCGATGGATGTAGAATCGAGTTTAGATCGAGTTCTTGTGGCGGATCTGAGAGCTATAGCTGTGTGTATGATCTCGTCTGGTTATGCTAAAGAATGTGCTGAAATATACGGAAATGTTCGCAAATCTGTTGTGGACGAAGCGATATATCGTCTAGGTATTGTTAAAATTTCGTCGCAAATCCGTAAAATGGATTCGGAGGCAGTCGATTTCAGAATCAAGGAGTGGTTAGAAGCTGTGAATACTGCTATTACAACGATTTTCAATGCGGAACGAGAGTTGTGTGATTTCGTATTCGCAATTTCTGAATCCGTTAGCGAATCTTGTTTCACTAAAGCGTGCAAAGATGGTGCTATGCTTCTATTTGCATTTCCGGAAGTCATCTTGAAGAGCAAGAAATCGCAAAAGAATGTGTTCTACTTACTCGATATGTTCACTGCTATAATCGAGAACTGGCAGAGAATCGAATCGATCTTTTCGTTTGAATCTACTGAATTAATTCGATCACAAGCCATCGCCTCGCTCAGCGTTCTTACTGGATCAATCTCCACAATGCTCTCAGATTACGAATCGTTCGTACAAAATGACTCCTCGAATTCGCTTTCTGTCGACGGAGGAATACACACCTTAGCTCTCCGATCGATGGACTGCCTCTCTCTCCTCGCCGAGTACCGAAAGATTCTCAACATAATTTTCTCCTGGTGGCCGCCGCCGTGGAAATCGTCTCTTCCAGCCGATTCTTGTTCCAATACTCCAGATTCCGACAGTTCTCCAGTTTCATCGGTCTCTTCATACATGGAGCGGATAATCTTCATCCTCCTCTGCAAGCTCGACAGCAAAGCAAGACAGTGCGACGACATTTCGCTCTCATACCTCTTCTTAGCCAACAATATCCGTTTCATCGTTTGGCAAGTCCAAAGCTCCAAGCTCCATCATCTTCTCGGAGACGAATGGATCGCGAAGCACAAAGCCAAAGGAAAACAGTACATCGACAACTACGAGCGCTTGGCATGGGGAAAGGTAATCTCGACGCTGCCAGCAAATCCGATGGCCGCTCTTACAACGGCGGAAGTGGCGGAGGTTTACGATAATTTCAGTTCCAGTTTCAAAGAAGCATACCAGAAACAGAGATCAAGCATCATACCGGACCCGAAGCTTCGATTCGAAATCTTGGCGATAGCGAAAAGCTGGTTGCCGAAGTACCGAGAATTCTACCATGCGCACAGATTTCCGGTGGGGCAGGAGGTAATTGCTAGATTGACCCCTGAGGATGTAGATAATTACTTATCGTACCTTTTTTTTCCACAGACTGATGGCTGATGGCTGATAGCTGATAGCCATACCATACTCATTATTTTAACCTTTTTCATTTTTTCTCAACTTTGCATTATGAACATTGAACCATCCACAACTAATATTACTCACTAATGCTTGAATTGACTAATTTTTCATTTTGAGATACCAAAATGTTGTTTACACTTCTACAAAGGATTTGCCATGGGGTCATAGGGACGGAAAAAGGAAGAAAAAAAAAAAAAAAAAAAAAACAATTCGCCCCGCCCTACAAGACTACAAAGCATAGGGGACACGTCGAATTGCTGAAAGACCTTGATTACTCCAATTTGGTAAGATGAAGATATAAAACCACAATGATTCAAATCTGAGATAGAATCGAGCTAGATTTGAACAACTTGAACATCAAGAGAAATAATGGATGTCTTACTGTTAGATTAATGCTTAGTTTAAAAGCTCAAGTGATAGAGAAAAGAGTAAAACATCAAGATTAGGCAGGTTAAGATATCGAGTTCATATTGAAGCCCTAAAACTTTTATCAATTTTCGCGTTTAGCACCAACATAAAGTGTGATAACATGGATACGAGTATAAATAATAACATTAAACACAACGTTTTTACACGGGAACTAAAAAAAGGACTAAATAGAAATCTCAAAACATCAAAGGACTGGAATAAAAAAAAAGAAAATCCATACAAGTCCAGGGACCTATAACTAAATTTAGAGGATTTCAATAATGTACTAAGGTACAAGTGGCAGATCACAGGGCCTAGGGATGTTTTGGCAACCAGTACAATGTTGGAGTATCTGTTTCAGAGCATCGGTGGGAGGTTCTACAGTCCAAGCAGAGTAATGATCTGAAGGATGAAACATGCTTTGACCGGCAGTGGCAGGCAGCAGCCCACTTTGAGTGCCACTTACAAATAAATCTCCCTCAGACCATATGCACCCACTTGAAGGTTCTTCCTTGTCTGTTGCCTGAACACACATATCAGACATATAAGCAATGGTTCCAGGTCAGTACAGTTCGTTTCTTTGGTTTCTTTCTACCTGTAAAGGTTGTTTTGGTAAGATTCCACGTTGGTTTGAGAGTAGACCGAAACATTTCTTATAAATGTGTGAAAACCCCTCCCTAGTAGACGCGTTTTAAAACTTCTATAAAGCTGACGGTGATACATAATGAGCCAAAGGGGACAACATATACGTAGTACAGTTTCATGTAAAAGACGATCTCGAATGTAACATAGACGTTGGATGAAATAACTATTTTTATCATGGGACATAGAATATTCTAACGACTAGGCTTGTGTAAAATCAATGCACGGATAGTCGTAGACGAACACATGGGCAAGAAATAGATTTACCTTTTCAGTTAGATATTTGAATGCCACTTTTTTCTGTCCCGCTTCGTATATGTTGCACTGAGAGTGTATCTGATTCAAAATGTGAGAAACAAATAAAGAAGGTTAATCTTTGGAGTAGTTTGAACTAAAATGTATTTGGAAAAGATGAGATGTGTCAAGACCTGTGATTCAACACTAGCACAGACAGCATAGATCCCCCAGTTTCTGGTGTAATTATTGTAAAGATGTATTTTACCATATCGAACACGTGGATGTCGTTGACGTGTACCATCGAAAAAACAGTGGTGGATAGTTACACGGATACATCGGTCGCCAATGTGAGAGGGATCGGCTCCAATGAGCATTGTTTTGTCGTGCCGTGAGAAGCGACACCTACAAATACATGATGGACAATATTAGATTGTTTGGGCATTAAGAAAGATCTTAGATGAAACTTTGTCTCACCTAGAAACTGTGATATCTGTACTTCCCCGGGTGATATCAATCAGCCCGTCATCGTAGTCTTGGAGGCTGCAACGGTCTATCCATATGTGGCGGGAATTCGGTTTAATTTGAATTCCATCAATATCATGACCTCTACCACCTTCAAACTCCAAATTGCAAATGATCACATGCTCACATTCCTTCAGCCTCAATCCCTTTCCTGTAAGCTTTATCCTTTGACCACGACCATCTACAGTCTTAAAAGATGACACGTTCAAATACGAAGACAAGTGAATTGTGCCTGAAACTTCGAAGATAATCCAAAGAGGCTCTTTCATACGACATCCGAACCTAAGTGATCCCGGACCATCGTCTACAACAAACAGAAAATACAGGTTTAGAGACTCCTCGATGAAATATTGTATAGTAGAAGCATTGTTAAATTCCTTTAATACGACTCAATAAGGTACAGAACCCAACTCACTGAACAAAACATACAAAAAAAAAAAAAAAAAAAAAAAAAAAAAAAAAAAACGGAAAGGAAACAAAAACTATAACAGCTCAAGCATACCACTAGTAGATATTGTCCTCTTTGGATTTTTCCTTCCGAGATTCCTCTCAAGGTTTTAGAGCGAGTCTGCTAGAAAGAAGTTGTCACACCCTTATAAAGAATGCTTCGTTCCCAACCGATGTGGGATTTCACAATCCACCCTCCTTCAAGACACAGCATCCTTGCTGACACTCATTCCCCTCTCCAATCGATGTGGATCTCACAATCCACTCCCTTCGAGGTCCAGCGTCTTCATTGGCTCTCGTTCCTTTTTTCAATCAATATGAGATCTCACAGAAACAAACAAACCAATTCCTATCAAAATGAAAAGACAAGCTCCACTCGAAGAAGCAAGCCCCTAGCTATTGCGCCTAGCCTCTTTGTTTGTACACGGTTCCAAACTTGCACACCCCTAAACAAAAAGCTTTTAAGTCCCAACTTTTTTTTTTCATGGGATTTGATGAAAATACCCCTTCCTATATCGAGATACACTAAGGCGCTTTACTCGTATTCTAATAGTTGACCCCTCTTGTGGCACTTGAGCTTGAAGCTTTTTCTAAAAACCATATAAGAAGATAAAAGCCCAAGGGAGAAGGCGCGAAAACCTAAGTTTACTACAGCTCAATCATATAATCAATCAAAGTAAATGCATCCAAAGTAGTTGATTAACAAAACTCTTGTTTCCATCAGTTTCCAAACTTCTCCACATCAAGAACAAGCAAACAAATCATGACCATTCTAACTCAAATTAAGAACAAACCCAATTCCAAAATCTTCAACATCTCAATTCCTGAATCAAAACAGAGCAGTTGAATTCAATCAAAAACAGGATAAATAAATCATCACCTTCCAAATTAGTAACGCAATATACAGAACCATGGAGACCACCAATGGAAGCGCGGCCAAATCCCTCGGCCTGACCGGCAAGGGCACGAAGACTCGAATCAACGAGGGCATAGGGCAAGGACTCCATCTTGGCAGTCGAGGTCGAAATTGGAGGAGCTGATCCAGATGGCGTATATTTATTGGAGGGAGAATGAGCGTTAGTGGATGGAGAGGAATTTACCCCATGGTTGAAATGCTTGCGGTGGCCATGGGCGTTTCCCATTAACATAAGGCGTTTGAAACTTTAATTGGGTGTGGATATGGCAAAACGAAAATGGATTGATAGCTATGTATCGAAGAAGGTGGGCTGTAAGAATTGTAATGGTGGAAGGCTCATGTCGGCTGTGGGGTAGGGCTTCCAGCCGGCAGCCATTTCTTCTCTCTGCAAAATGGCCTTCGTCTTCTGCCTTGCGTGGAATGAAATTTGATTCCCATTGGAATCGTTTATCCCAAGGCCGCTAAGAATGACTCGTGTAAATTGTGCAAAATGTCCATTTCTGTAAATTCACTATTTATATATATATATATATATATATATATTATCGTTTGTTATTATTTTAAAAAAGAGTGGATATACATTTTATTTTTTTTAATATATAGAAATGGAAATGTATGGTTGTAAATTATTATTTTTGATAAATCATTTTACCTACCTAATAAATAAAATATAAAATTAATTTATATCTAAATTATAATACAAAATTTGATAATATAATTTTTAATTTTAAAAAACTAAAGTAAAATCCCTCGAAATTAACTTGAAAATAGAACCTAAAAAGTCTCTCTTTAAAGTTTGACATATTGAAAGATTGGGCGGGAATTATTTATTTTGCATGGACTTGAAAGAGAAATTACAAGAAACAATGCAACGAAGATTAAGTATTAAATAAAGAAAAGAATTGAGTGACAACCAAATATGAGTGATTTAAAGATTTTTTTTATTTTATGTCTTATTTTCTCCCGTTTGTATTCAATAGTATTAGTAGTTTGTAGTTGGTAGTTGAATTACGTCTAGATTTTTTTTTAACACGTAATATTCAATTTTGAAGTGAAGGTGGAATACAAAAACCTTATTGTTGAAAGCCTTTCGGTGTTATGTTTCTTTCAAACTTTATTTAAGTTAGATGTTAAAATTGATTTATTAGATTAATCATGATCAAGCTATTTTTAGAGTGAGTCGTCTTGGAATCTAAGAGTGTCCATCATAGATTCAAAGTTCGATTTAAGAGTCCATCATCTTCTAATCATCTCTTGGTTGGAATCAATTTGTTAAGTTAATTTTTTTGTGTGAACGTTTGGCAAGGATTCTAGAAGAATCTCTAGCTTTGTAAAATTTAGTATTTTTTGTGTTTATCAAAATCTTGTAGTTAACTAAATCATAGTTTGTAAACAAAAACATATTCTATTTTCAATAAAGTTATTATTGTTGTTTATTCAGTAAAGATTGTTATTGAATAGTAGGATTATTTGAACTATATGTAGAGACATAAGAGTTGATCAAGTTCAAAGTATATAGTCAAAATGATTTATAGTATAAGGATAAGCCTTCCAGCGACACGCGTTTCCGACCACACAACTCGACCTGCATCCCTCGACTGACCCGGTACCCACACGACGAAACAAACAGCCACGACCTGCGATCCACCCAAACCGAACCGACAACTCGCGGCTGCAGAAAATCTTGGGCGCGTGACACTCGCGCGTGGAACCTGCTAGTGATTTTGTCCTGGCGTGTGGAAGCGCGTGTAAGCCCATTTCTGTCCTGTTCGACTTCTGTTTTCCCTATTTTCCTCCTGATTCCAAT